AGCAGTACGAAAAATTACGTACCTGCCACAGCCAGAAATAAAAAAGTCTTGGATCGTCTGCTTATGGGGTTCTCAGTGAGCAAAATTCATACATCCGAGTACGAGTATGAAAATATAATACTTACAGGGCGCACCAAGTGCGTTTCTCAGTTAATGAAATTTGTTTACCTAAAAGATCCAGTAACGACACGCTACTTACAGGTGACCGATACAAGTTCTTCCTTATATACTCTATCAAGATATTAATTTCATAGTTATTAGTTTTTTAAGATTGATAAATATAATTCATAAAGCTTTAACAGTAAGACAATTTTTTTTCTAAAACTTAATGTTATCATTTTACATATGGTTTTAAAAACCTGCTTTTGATCATTGTGAAATATAGACTAAACTTTGTCTTTATTTTCTTCACCGTTTTCTTTTCCTACATTGACAAAACTTTTCCTACGAATATCTATATACATATACATACATATACATATATATATCATAATGTATACGTACACCAAATACTGTTTCTAAGCTTGCAACTTCTTTTATGAGTTTCAGATTCTGGAAATTGTCCGTTCAGTTCAACTAAGCTCCCTTACATACTTTGTATGTTATGATGTAATGTATCTCTGTATTTAAATATGTGTTCAAGTCATAAAATCGGAGTACTTCTTATATGATAAGGCAGAAACAGTAGTTTGTTTTACCTGACCACACTTTTTACCCACTAAATTCAGTTGTATAACGATAAGCTCGTAGTATAAAATTAATCAGTCCATTTACAAATTTTATGGACTAATTCCATGAACTGATAACAATTTTGGATCAATCTGAACATTAATTTTTTATCTAAAGGATCTGTTTTTCTCTTAATCGATCTAAAATCACTTTATTTAGCAAAGAGTATAGTTTTCGCAAGGTAAGGGGTGAGACTACCCTGTATTATCGTAACACTCAATATATGTTTGATGTGGATAGCTGCAATGTGCTGATAAAACCAGATCCTCTATGTAAATTGTCTTATAAACATTTTTTCTTATTGATGATTGGTAGGAGAATTAGAGATATAATGACTTATCATATCGCTCAGTATGTTATATGCTGCGTATAGATAAACCTAAATAATGGCTGCTGATGCTGATGGGAGATCAAATACTGCGTGGCATCTGAACATTTGCTATGGTGTTTTTTTTTTTTTTTCTCACTTAACGTTGATAAATTATGTGGTATTATCTCATTGTTGGGTGTATGGCTTTCCAATTATCTCTCTGCTGATAATTATTAACTATTTGCTTATCTGTTACTGTCAATAAGTACTAATTGATATTTTTTATTTTTCACACATGCAAATCACATATCTTAGATCTTATTGCAAAATACATGCAAACTCATTTAAGAGTCATACATGTACTTTGAATAAAGCTTATCTTAATAAATTAAACAAATAAGAATAATGTAACCTTTTACATCACGATTTAGTATCACTACACATAATGGTTAGAAATAGAATCAGTTCAAACGTTTTGGTTTTTTCTTAGAAAAGAAGGCATTAACGTTATTTTTTTTGCACTATGGCATCACAAATTATAATAAAATACAATATAACGTTATTTAGAGTTAAAGCTGCTTTATTTATTTTTTTGAGAAAAGTATAGCATACTATCAATAGACTCTAAAAATTTTTCATACTTGTATGCTTATCATTTAAATAATAAAAAATAAATATCCAAATATCCTCGAACAAGTAACTCGTATAATTATGACTGAATTGCACTAGAAGTTCGTTTAATCATTAAATATTTTGAACTCAAAGTCCTTTTGGATTAATAATACAGACACATGATAAAACAAATTTTTTCTGAACTTGTGGGGAGACCTCTTTTTTCAAAGGTTTTTTGAGCCGCTGGAACCAAATATGACAATGACAAATAACTTTTACTGCCTACTTTTTTGCCAGCACCCCCTTACCACCCCTTAAAGAGGTTTGAGTTTTCAATTTTAGTTCAACACTAAGATGTTCGTCTTCTTCTTTATTTTGTTAGGATGCTTCAAAACTAATGAGCAAGCATGCATATAACACCTCTCTCACCCATTAGCACCCCCTTACATCTACTAAAAGAGGGTAAAAATCTCAATCTTTGTATAACTCTAACATATATGATTATTTTCATCATTTTGGTTTTTTAAAATACTAAACTATAAATTGGTAACAAAATATAAGTATAATATTTCTCTTACTCATTATCACACCTNACTATATTAATAAGTTTTATTATTTTTACATTGTGTATTAAAGTAACAATAATAGTTACAATATTAAACACCTTTTTAAATCATTTGTTTGTCTCATAACTATTATGCTTTTTTTTATTTATGCACGAGACTGTCATTAATTTTCAGCTGAAACACAACTAGGATGGTATTTTTTAAATACAATAAACATAAATAGTATCTTTTTTTAACTGCTGAACAATTCTCATCTATACAAAAGATGATACTTTGAAAGATAATCTGCAAAGAAAAAAGTTTTTTTGTCATCCTTAGTGTTTTGCTAAATGATCCAATCTTTATTTCTTGACACTAATAAGATCATAAAACAAATAAGTTTTAAGTAATCCTTATATCTTATCACGATTTAAAAATAATTAATTTTGTTTTAAAAAAAAATGTTTATATATTTAAGGACTGCTTGCTTATTACTGTGCGTGATGCTTAAACCACCTTCAAGAATCAACTGAATTATATCTTATCGTTTCCAGTTGTTAATTAAAACAGAAAAGTAACACGTTATAGTTGATGTTGCATCTCAAGCTGTTAATACCTTAGTTTTTTCTTATTACGTAGCATAAATTTTTTTCCATAAGTCAGAACCAACTGCAATAAAGTCTGACTCGATTAATTCTTGGTTCAACTAATTTTTTCGAGCCTTATTATTTTACGTTCAAGTATCCATAAAATTAATTGCTAACAATAGTATGGTCAGTTAACAAAGTCAACAAAGCAAATCAACGACAGTTAAGTTAATGAAGTACCCTGTAGCTTATCTTTTACGTCACAGTATTTTATGCTTTTACGTAGAATTTCATAGTTTTTAAGCTGTATTTCGGAATTTATAGCATGAACGTTGCTACTTATAACCATTTATTCGTATAAATTTTTTTTACAATCATGTATAAAAATGCAGCTGTCAGAAAAAATGAAGCATTTCTTTTCCTTCTTGGACTAGATGTATGTTTTATTTGCTGTTCTATGAAATAAGAGCATCGAGTATACTAGCAGAAGTTACAACCTTATAAACAGCTTTCTTTCAATCTATTTCTATTAGTTCATAATTTTATAGATAATTTCATGCAAAATTATAAGAAAAGATACAAATCTAATTCTTTTAGTAATCATTTGAGTCTTTGTTTATCATAACTCATTCAGAATTAAAGCTTAAAAGGTTTAATGCGTGGCCATAAGCAATTATTAAGCTCATTATAAACTAAATATAAGTATAATATTTCTCTTACTCATTATCACACCTCACTACCCCTTGCAGAGAATAATAATCTTAATTTTTGTATGTTATTAAAATATGTACATATTTCTATGTTTTTGGGATGCTGACCAGAAAATGATTACGAAATTTTGATATTATGCGTCTCTTTTCCATTAGCACTCCCTTACCATCTCTTAAAGAAAGTAAGAATTTTAATTTTTGTATAGAATAAAGATGAGCGTCATTACAGTGCATACATTTCTTTGAGGTAGAAAAAATACAGTGTATAATAGCAGCTGCAACTGACTCTATGCTGCATTAGTACCCTTCGCAATATGTAACAAAAGATACACGAGCTATTACTTACTTACCATGCTTTAATACATATGTAAGGGTGTTGGCTCGCGTAGTCTATAAACTAATGCAGTTGCATTTTTCAGACGTTTGCATAAGAGAGGTTACACAACGTTGAGCCAAGAATGCAGCTTGGACAAATACGATACTCTTAAGAAATAAGCATTTAAGCTTGGGAAAACGAGTTAATATATTGCATGGTATGAAATGATACATATATATAAATAAGTGTGTGTGTATTTGTGTGTGTGTGCTCACTGGAGTGAACTACTTCATCACTCGACGTTTGATATTTTAACGATTCTCAGTCAATTACTTGCTTAGTAAATTAGTTTAATATAACCCTTAGCTCTTACACAAAAAAATTAATAGCTTCATTGATTAGAAGTGTTAGATGTACTTATGATTTCATTCTTCTCTTAGAGTGACCCAGGATAAACGGGGTGGACGTAGTAGATTTTTATTAGCTTTGGGATGCTTGATTAACGGAATTTTGATAACCGAAATTTTTCGTTACGACGTATTTTCATGTTTGGTAAGATATTTTTTTTCAAATTAGCTAATTACGATTTTTATAACCAACAGTTTAAGTTGCTGGGAGAACATTTTTGAAATAAACAATGATAAAAGTTCTTATTGTTGCAAAACCGAATAACGATAAGGGGATAATCTTAATCGTTTTAAACCTAGTAATGTAAGCCCCTGCACTGAAATCTGAGTAGTCGTTAAGGTTAGTAGGATACTTGATTGGCGATCTGTAATAGTATTTACTAACCAATAAATGGTAGTTTTCCTACGAGTTTGAAAAGTCTCTGTTTACGAACCGAGAGGTTTGCGGCCCGATCCGAAGGTGAGGGACGTAACGAGGTTCGTAAAGGAGACTTTTCGAACGAGTTCCGGAAAACTGCTTTTTCGCCCGAGGAAGTACCAGCCTCCCAAAACCACCCGAGGGCGGAAAACTGTTTTTTCGCCCGAGGAAGTACCAGCCTCCCAAAACCACCCGAGGGTGGAAAATAATATTTGCCACCGTTTGCCTTTACCATAATATAGTATGCAAAACTGAATACAATTGTTTTGATGTTCGACTCTACTAAAAATTTTACTTTTATTTACGTATATAAATGATTGTACTTCACAAATAAAATCATTTGATTGGGACTCTTATAAAGAAAACATGAATGTATGTCTGTACATTCACTAAAGAGAATCTGTAAGCATTTGTGATAGTAAATAAGTGTAGCTCTTCTAACTTTGAGTTGTTGAAATACAATTAACAACTGCAGTACAAAAATTAATAAATAAGGAACTTCAAAGTGAAATCAGGGTCCAACAAGAAGAAGGGAAAGAAAGAGTTGGCCCCAAACCGATAATGTTTATCTACTACTCATTTTAAAAAAGTGATAAGTGGTTTACTATTTAGACCTACATATTTGTCAATAAAAAAAATCTTTAAAAATAATTTTAGCCTTCTATTCTTTGACACAAGTGATCTGAAGAATATTAATATAATGTAATAAAATATGCATTTTAGGGTGCAGGATTAGAAAGAAAAGACTATCTTACGTATGGTGACTTTAAACTGATGATGAAGGAATACAAAGGTGACTTTGTGGCCATCGGGCTTGACTGCAAGGGTGCAAAGCAGAACTTTTTAGATATGTCAACAAACATTGCACGTATGACAAGCTTTCATATTGAGCATCTTCCACATGAAGAAGCCAAGTGCTGGGTACGAAAGCAGTGGTACGCTATTGCTACATTCCTTGAAGAAAATCGCCAAAATATTTACTATCTCTTCGTATTCTACGTCACAACTATTGCACTTTTTATAGAGAGGTTTATACGTAAGTATATTTTTAAATCATGGTTGATAAAATTTCCTATTTTTTTCACTTACTTCATATCCTCAATGAGGATTTTTTTATTTAGGTCCTGATTTACCTTATATTGAAATGATATACTAGCATAGTTGTACATGATTGTATTTTTGGAACAAAAAAAAAAAAATCTTCGGATGTTTGGGGGCCTTGCTGATTTTTTTCATAAACATAATTAATTGCAGTCATACAGTACTAAGTTTGTAGAGTGTAAGAGGTGGTGCAGAATATAGGGAGTACATCTGCGTGGACCAGGGAGATTCCTCGTTTCTTACCTCTCTAAAGGATACTCCTTAACTTCTTCGATAATGCGATGACAATTTTTAATTATTTATTTATTTATCAACTTAACAAGTTTCTATGGACATAGTAATATTACACAAATCGTTTGAAATGTCGAAAATAATAAAATAATGAGTGACGAAGAACTTTCTAATCAAACAGAACAACTAAATAAAAAATGATAAGTAGAAATACACGGTCAAAAAAATTTATTTATTAAATCAGTGTAAGCTAAATTCTCGTTTTTAAAAAATTTTTTGTCTTTTCGTTTGAACTGAAAAAAAATTTTTATTGGAACTATATTAATAAGTTTTATTATTTTTACATTGTGTATTAAAGTAACAATAATAGTTACAATATTAAACACCTTTTTAAATCATTTGTTTGTCTCATAACTATTATGCTTTTTTTTATTTATGCACGAGACTGTCATTAATTTTCAGCTGAAACACAACTAGGATGGTATTTTTTAAATACAATAAACATAAATAGTATCTTTTTTTAACTGCTGAACAATTCTCATCTATACAAAAGATGATACTTTGAAAGATAATCTGCAAAGAAAAAAGTTTTTTTGTCATCCTTAGTGTTTTGCTAAATGATCCAATCTTTATTTCTTGACACTAATAAGATCATAAAACAAATAAGTTTTAAGTAATCCTTATATCTTATCACGATTTAAAAATAATTAATTTTGTTTTAAAAAAAAATGTTTATATATTTAAGGACTGCTTGCTTATTACTGTGCGTGATGCTTAAACCACCTTCAAGAATCAACTGAATTATATCTTATCGTTTCCAGTTGTTAATTAAAACAGAAAAGTAACACGTTATAGTTGATGTTGCATCTCAAGCTGTTAATACCTTAGTTTTTTCTTATTACGTAGCATAAATTTTTTTCCATAAGTCAGAACCAACTGCAATAAAGTCTGACTCGATTAATTCTTGGTTCAACTAATTTTTTCGAGCCTTATTATTTTACGTTCAAGTATCCATAAAATTAATTGCTAACAATAGTATGGTCAGTTAACAAAGTCAACAAAGCAAATCAACGACAGTTAAGTTAATGAAGTACCCTGTAGCTTATCTTTTACGTCACAGTATTTTATGCTTTTACGTAGAATTTCATAGTTTTTAAGCTGTATTTCGGAATTTATAGCATGAACGTTGCTACTTATAACCATTTATTCGTATAAATTTTTTTTACAATCATGTATAAAAATGCAGCTGTCAGAAAAAATGAAGCATTTCTTTTCCTTCTTGGACTAGATGTATGTTTTATTTGCTGTTCTATGAAATAAGAGCATCGAGTATACTAGCAGAAGTTACAACCTTATAAACAGCTTTCTTTCAATCTATTTCTATTAGTTCATAATTTTATAGATAATTTCATGCAAAATTATAAGAAAAGATACAAATCTAATTCTTTTAGTAATCATTTGAGTCTTTGTTTATCATAACTCATTCAGAATTAAAGCTTAAAAGGTTTAATGCGTGGCCATAAGCAATTATTAAGCTCATTATAATCTAAGATACAAATGAAACAATCATGTGCATTAAGTTTACTGGCTTGATTGTCAATTTATTGTAATAAACTCGTGTTTCAATGAGTTATCAATGCTTTAGCTTTGTACCATTTCTTCAAATTGAGTATTAGGAGCAGTAGACAAACTTTTGTTTCTTGTATGTGTCATTTTTTCTCAAAATTATTGCGTAAGCATACTCACATACATGAAAAAAACAACTCACTGAATTTACTCAATGCAGATTATTCATTTATGGCGGAGCATACGGATCTACGCCACATACTTGGTGTCTGGATCTCAATAACTCGTGGCTCGGCTGCAGCTCTTTCCTTTTGCTACAGCCTCCTGCTTCTTACAATGTGCCGCAATAGTTTAACAAAACTCAAGGAGTTCTCAATACAGCAGTACATACCTTTAGACTCACACATACAGTTTCACAAGATCGTTGCTTGCACAGCCTGCCTATTTTCTGTCTTGCACAGTATTGGACATATTATAAACTTCTATCACATTTCAAACCAGCCACTGGCCCACCTACGATGTCTTTCTAGTGAAGTCAGCTTCTCCAGCGATGCTCAGCCCACCATCTCCTACTGGCTGTTTCAAACAATTACTGGTATGTTAAAGTAAAGCAACTTCTTACACTAACCAATAAAACGTCTTATGACCCTGTTTAAGTAATTGTAAGTACAACATCCTCAAAATGAATAAATATTTTTAGATGGGCAACGTATTTAGATGGAATTAAATGAAATTACAACTGTAGGTAGGTAATTTTTATGACTGTAAAAAAGAAAACTTTTAAGTTTGCTTTATCTTATATTTTAATGTCACCTTTTAATTTTTTTTAATCAATTTAAAATAAAAATAAATCTCATTACTTTTCATTGCTATTTTTTATATTTTGTATCAGAAAACTAGTGGATAAAGATTTTTTAATAAAAATGTGTTTTAATGAGGATAAAAACATGTATGAGTTGATTTCTACGGCTTTTCGTTTGTGGTTGTATACAACTGGTCTTATTTTAGAATTCTCAAGACCAATTTTGATGAAAAGTTGATTTTTTTTTGTATCTTGAAAGCAAAAAATTAGACAGTTTAACTACAGGTCTGTATATTTAAACAATCGAAACATACTTCTCGAGTACACACAAGACCTTCATAGCATAAATAAATCTAACAAAATATTTGTAAGAACGTTTTAAGCCAAGAACCTAATAGCAGTTTCTAGGTTGTGTCACAGCTATCTTCTTTTTACTTTTTTAAATGTATTACTTTTGACCTTAGATATTTTGTTGGTTCAAGTTTTCACATACAATGTTTTTTTAACTATTTCTGTGACAATGAACTCATGCCTTTGAATTTTATTCACTTGAAAGTGAATATTACGTAAAAGTTTACTGCTCAGTGGATGGGAAGCCTTAATTAAAAAGAGATACTGGGAAATTGTAATAGAATTGGCTTGTGCATGCAAGATGGGTGATGGGAAGAAGACTATGACAAATACATCTGTCTTTGTGAGCTCAACCCCCTATACTTGTAAGAACATAGAAAATTTTCACGCATTACCGGACCATTTAAATAAACATGTAACACTGTTAATAAATTTTTAACACAAAATTACAAAATTTTTAAAAGTTACTTATTCAAAAAAAATTTGCTCACATTTGTTTTATTAATCATTTTTACTCATCGATGAATAACAGTATAACTTTTTTCTTCAATCAAATAATGCATATTTTACGAGATATAATAAACACCACTTTCTCCACAAACCTACTGTACCTCATTTTGCTCAATAAATGTTTTATATTTATAATGGAATTCATAAAAGAGCTAATTAAGATTACTTTTAAAAATGAACCAAACTAAATAGAAACTAAATTTACTGACATACTTATTAAATGTCGCTTCTCTTTCAGATCACTTACGATTTTATTCGCCTATTAGGATTAAACAAAGTGATGTGTGCCAAGTCGTTTAACAACTGACGAAATAATAACGGAACAAGTAGCAATTTATTTAAAGACACAGCTATTGTCATACATTTTCAAAGTGGTACTTTTTTGTAAGAAGCACGTATAATTGTAACCATTAAATGATGAACATTTTTGACATGGGTCATAATACCAGCGAATAATGTAGCGATAAAGTTTGAAAAATTCTGAAAAATGATTTCGTAATGGATTTTAATCCAAAGAACATTAATTTTTTTAATGTACAAATGAAAATTTTAATTTCGCTGACAAATCATGTGGATGGGTTTATTAACTTATATGAATTGTAACTGACATAAAACAAAAGCAACTTTTAAGAATCTGCTTTTAAACGATGGTATTGAGTTCAGTGAATCAGCAATAAAACAAAAAATAATTAAAATTTTTTGATAAATGTGAAGAAAAAAACAAAATATCTCCTATAAACAGTTTTGAAGTCGTAGGAATAATGTTTTTATACGATTTAATATCAGGATCTTTAATTTCTCGAGATTAGGAAATTTTGTACATGGTTCAGACTTGTAATGTTTTAATGGTACTTCTGTTGGGAGTGATACGTAGTACAGCTCTTTGTTAACTTTTGAATTGATACAACATTAAGAACTTTTTTTTACATGCAAATTTATTAAAAAAACAATGACAAGTATAAAATATAATTATGTGGTATGAGGCTTCCATGAGTTTAAAAATCTTAAGAAAGTATTGATATAACTTGGCGCTTACATGAAATACCAATGTTTGTTTTAAATGTAACTTGATCGTTCTAGAAAAAGGTATCCGAAAAAATTTTTTTACTCTGAAAAATAGTACTACAAACATGACAGTTGCAGAAGATATCAAAACATCGTGTCTTTTGCCATTTTTTTACACTTTAAAACTATTAACAACTGTTTGTGTGATTAGAAAGAAATTTTAGAATTCTTAAAAAAAATCTAAGAAAAACAAACTGAACAGTATATTTATTACTTAAGGCAGAAAGTACAACTTGTGTACCCGAAGGGTGGGATTATTGTATGTTTGTGACAAGGTGAGAATGACATTTTTTATATCATCAAGGGCGCAAAGGGCACCTTTTCAGCTTGCTAATTACTTTCCACCCTAGGGTAGGAACGAACTTTAGGCCCGGCAGCGCCAGAACGTTTCTTCCCACCCGTGGATGACAAAAAATTAGTGGGCAGAAAATGTGCCCTAGAATGCAAGGCATCCTACCCGTGGAACAAAGTAGTATCTTTTCAACTTCGTGGTGCATGACACCAGGGCAAGCACGATGCCATAGGGACTCTTTGTGCTTGTCCTGGTTAGATCGCACAAGGTTTGAACCCTATCTCTCCTACTGAGGGCACTTCTTATCCTTAAAAAACGCTTGAGGTAGGAAATGAAATTATTCTAAAACAAATAAAAGCAAAAGTAAAAACAATTAACACTATGAATTATTGAACGAAAAGTGGTATTATAATTTAGGAATAGGAATTATTCATTTAAAAAATAAATTTATTTCTTCTGTTTAAACAAGTCAGAAAATGAGGGATTAGGGACAAATTTAAGAAACTAAAAAAAAATGACCTTAGTTTTAAGAAAATTTTACCTATTTTATAATAATCCTAGAACTGGAACAATTAATGAAAATACCTTGGATATTTCACGTTAAGTGGAGTATCTCATAACTTTAAAAATTGGTTGCCAAACTGTTACGTGGAAAAGAGAGATGTATTATAATAATAGTGGGGTACTGCGATGAAGAAGGCACTGATACGCAAAAAAGAGAAATATCATTTCTTATTTTAGTAATCCTGCCCTGAAATATAGAAACAATTATGAACTTGTTATTTTTTGCACGTCCATTCCATTTTAGTCAGTGCGTGTGCCCTTGTAATATCTTCTCTAACGGTGTTCCCTCAACTAGTATATAAGATAGAGAGTGTCTTTGCCTACGAGTAAACTTAATTGTCTCTTCTTATAAGAGTGTTTTAAAAACGTCTACGGTTTTCTTTATCTCGTCCTTCTACCTTGTAACGTCTTGTCAAACTCTTACAAGATTTCATTGATATTCATATCAGCGGTTCCAAAGTCGATAGTATTTTGGCTTTTTTCTAGGATTGACAGAACTGCTACATGTACATTCCTGTTGTACGCATCAAAGTTTTCATTAAGTTGTAGAATGGTCGTGTAAAACAAATGTGAAAAGAAATGGCCGTGAACCAAAACAAATTGAAAATAATTCGACAGGTGTGCCCTCCGAGGTAGAAAAGCAGTGTTTGGCACACAAGTGCAATTCATTTAGAGCCACGTTACAGCCTCTTTTCATTGATATTCAGATAAGCCATTTCAGAATAGGTATTTGGCTTCTTCTCCACGTTTGACAGGGCTGACATACGTACGTTCATGTTGTTAGCAGCACAACTTTTATCAAATCGTAGAATGCTGCGTCATTTACTGAAATTGTTTTATGGATTGAGCTCTGTTATTACATAAATAACAGCTCCTTTTGCACTGCTGAAAAAGATTAAAGATTAAGTGGATGAAGTCAGGCCAAGTTCGTGTCTCGTAATCCTTCAACTTTAACTGTAAATTTTTAAAGTGAAGCTTCTTATGTAGGGCCCCCACTGGACGAAAATAGGAGGAAGCGTCACACTTTGTCTTGCTCTTTTTATTCCTGTTCATTTCCCCATCATTGCACGCCCTCTCGACAGCGAGAGCAGTGTGTTTTTTCATACGGTATTCGATATGGCATCACCAATCTAAAACCCCTTATTTAAATCCATATGTAAGACCACGTGGCATGTCGTATAGCTTTTCCAAAGTTATTACATATGGAATTCTGTTATCCATTATTTTGGTGGGTAGCCTGGTTGAAATTTTCGATCGGAAATATGTGTAAACGTGACTTTTCCAGACGGCTCAAAAATCTAAAAGTATAAAACTGAAAGTATATAAAACAACATGGCAAAATGACTGGCGATTAATTTTTATAAATATAGAGTTAGCATTTAAAAAGTTTTTTTTTTAAATTTAAATAATGTTTAATTGCAAAAAATTATATAACTAAGAAACAATGAATTCTTTATGAAATCTTTATCGAAGCTTTGCTTCTCCTAGAAGTCCAGCAACCCACTCTTTTTTTTGTTATTGCTAATGCTGCAATAAACTGTAAGCTTTGTTTCACCTGAATTCTGTTTCCTTTACTCTCTTATTAATTTTGTATACTCAGAGATATATAACTCACGCAGTATCTTACAGCTGAAAACTTCAAGTACTTTTTTTGCCATGTATGTATTAAATTTTTTTATTTATGGTCATATATTCATGCTCTAGCCATACATTAGCATAGGTATTCAAACTTTCTAGGCCTTCTTGTTTTATTGGCAAAGACCACATTCTATACGAGTTGACATAGTTTTTATCTAGCAGCAGGATGATTGTATATGAGTTAATCAATTTTTTAGCATTATAAACAATTTGGATATGTTTATTATTTTTAACGTAGTTATCTGAGATCTTGTACTCCGAAAAATCAGCTGGGGTCTGCAGAGTTTTGCTCGTATTTGAAAGTTATTGATAATTGGAGGCAAATCAGCTTTAAATGTCCTAGTCGTCTTGCTACAGAGGACTGCATTTATCA